CGCTAACTATTATATAATAATAATATAGTATTGACGATGGGTTATCCACTTATACCCTTAATATTGACGTGTACTTTTATTGGTGCTTTATTACAGTACCTACCTTAAACAATTCAGTATTTATGTATATTTGATTCAATGAGACGATGAAAAAAAAATGTACGTCTAGCCGTCCTGCGGGGACAATAATAATTGTGCTGGCTCTTATTAATAATTAGTAGGTAATAAATTACACTTGTGGGCATAGCTTTAGTGTTTGCCCTCGGACCTCAAAAGTTTATGGCTACGCCACGTCATCATATATAATAAAATATTATGTATATATTAGATATTTTTCGTACAAGGCCTAATTGGCTATATAACACTATAATACGACTATATATATAATATAGTCGCAAGTTCAACAATGTCGCACGTTAACTGAGGTCTGCAGCGACTATATTACGGATATGATATAATAGTCTGACTGCAAAGTCGCCCACGCGGAAATATATTATATTATTATCTTAACTTCGGCAAAAAGATCGTAAAACCGTAATGCATAATATATATTTTACACCTGTCCTTTACGTGGTTTTAATAATATGTATGTATAATATATTAATGTACTTCTATACATAAATATATTTATGAATTATGTTCGAGATTATGTTGTACGCACGTTGTATAGATTGTAGACAGATGTATTATTACCGGTACCTACCTATATCATCGCAACAGCGCCGAACGTCTGAAATCAATAAAAAAAATCAACACTCAAATCGCATGCGAGTGGGTGGTGAAAACGTATGCCAGAAGCGTGAGTAGGTACTATATACGTATACTTACTTTTATAATATTATAATATTATTATCGTCGTGATAATCCGTAGTCCGACTGTATATATTGTATCGCTAGACGACGATCTAATGACGTGCTAATGGATAGGCAATAGCCACATCGCTACATTAATACAAATATACAATATAATATATAATATCCTCAGTGTCCCGTGAGGGTATTACCCATTAGCCGCCCGGACAAAAACGGGTTTTTTGCCGTTTTACCTATTAAGTAAAAAAGTTATTAAAAATTATGAAATTAATGCAAATAAAATGTTGAAAAGTCAAAATGTTTACAAAAATAAACTCCGTATTAAATGGCCATCTACAATAATTTCAAAAATAAAAAAACAACTTTTTTACAAAAATAAAAAATTAAATATGCGTAGTCCTTGTCTCCGCAGAGTCTAATAAAAAACATATTTATGATAAAATATTTATTATCTCAGGAGATATCGCAAAGGGTAAATCCTCGTGGGACACCCCGAACGTAGGTAACTCGTATTATCTATAGGTGAGATATTACTGTATTAGTAGGTATCAGCTATATAATATTTTTATATTACCCGCTCGGACTCGAGTTGATTATCGAACTTCAAGGACGGCTGTTATATTGTCATAGATTGTTGTGTTAGATATAATCCTCGACTGTCTTTTGTCCACGTTCCCAATTGTTATTGTAAAATATGTAGGTACGACCTATATAAATATATTATATTATAATTTAGGTATAATACAGATTTAGCATTAATACAGCCGAACGACCGCAATTCTAATAATATTATATTTCATTATACCTATAAATGAAATTTAAATAAAAAATAAAAATTCATTAAATTCTTCAATAGTGACTACAGAGTACTGAGGAATGACGATGTTATTCTTGTAAATTGTAAAAGGCTACAAAAAAATCCAACAATTTTATACTAAAAAAACTAGTCAGTTAAAATAATTATCTTACTCCGTGATTAATTTTAATAATTTCACATTTTGAGCGAAGCGATGAATGACGAATGAATTGATTTTACAATGTGTTCTTTTTTTACTTTTTTGTTTGTGTACACTTATAGTATACTACTATACTGTATAACTATACAGAGGCGGAACTAAGAATTTTTACGCCCGGGGAAAATATTAAAATTAAGCCCAATCATAGACCAAGATTGAAAATACAATATCATTCCCTACAATTGTTTTATCATAACTGGAACTAAAATTACAAACATACTTATTAACTTTTAAACACATAATAATATATAATAATTAATATATTATTCTGTGGACTGTGGTGTAACCAAGTTTATACTAATAAACTATCACACCAAAAACACTTTAAATTTAAAAACTTAGTCAACATATTGTTGATACATTTTTAATTACTGGAAATACTGTATTGGTTACTTAATTGTATTTATTATTAGAAATAATAATAATATTAGTATACATATATAAATGTTGAAAAATAATCAAAACTTTAATTACCTACCTATCCTGTATAAAAATTGTAAACACTTTTGCTGTTTTGGTTCTATGCGCTTCAGGCCTCAGCCTTCAATTATAATAGATTTTTATGGTAAAATATAAAATCTTTTATTCTGATTAGGGTACACAATTTAGGCCACTAAAAAATTGTATTTAATTAAACAATTTATAATAGAAAAAATGAAAAAGTAAATATTTAAAATCAAATCTTTTTTTTAAACATAAACAAATGAATAACTATCTTGGTAAATATTATAATACATAATATTATAAACTATAATATATTAACATCATTTTTAATATACAGATATAATATGCGTATCGTACGTTGATTGATAATCTTATAACAGTTATTGTGTAGGTATCAGAAATTTTAACGAAAACACAGCATCAATAAATGCCTAGGTATAGTTAATAGTTACATTTTCACTCAGAATCTTAATAATTATATAGTATATTAGTTGTATATGCTTGCAGTACCTAGGTATGCTAATGCCAGTACCTATACCAGTATATTCTTAGTATACTAATACAAATCTATTCATAATCTTACTATTAACTTTATTATTTTTTTCATTAATTCCAACGCCATCAAGACAACATCATAAACAATTAATGTGTAATAAAAATGTTTTCTTAACTTCTATCACCAAGCATTAAATAAAGAACTAAAGAAAAATTACGCCCACTAAAATTTTACGCCCGGGGATCAATCCCCGGCTTCACCCCCCCTAGTTCCGCCCCCTGTAACTATATACTGTTATATTATGGTAGTCGAAATAATGATTCGATTTTCCACTTCGGTATCTTGTTCGGTGGGAAAGTGAATCTAGTTGGTGTATTGGGGAGGTGAGGTCATATTCCAATAAGCAGTGCCGCATTTAGAAATTTTGCGCCCCCCAATTTTTATGCAAAAGCGGTTTTCGACAAAATCGATTTTGGTTTTTGGTGTAAATCTAAAACAAATGAACTTGTATACATGAAATTTTCACTGGTTGTTTATATTCGCATTTTCTATACATGATAAGATTTTCAAAATATTTTGATTTGTTTTGAACTGTTTAGAGACACTTTCAGTTTCCAATTTTATTAGTCTTTTTTGAATGTCAATAAAACTTTACTTGTTGGGTAAAAAAGCTCGACATTTAAATACAAGGCTCCTACAATATTGTTACAATGACTACATTTGAATAATATTAAAAATCTTTAGTCCCCAGTTTTTTTTATAAGCATTTTAGTTCCAATTTTAACAAAATTTATCAAATTTATTAAATTATAATAATTATTTGTAGCTATAAATTTATAAAATGTTCAACTTTTATAGTTAAGGATTGAAAATTTGAAAAAAGGTATCACGTAAATAAGTTAAGTATAAATTACTTTATTCACAATAATATCATCAAATATACTTAGGAGTTAGGACTTAGGAGTATCATAAGCTGTCCGACCATCTTCGCTCAGAATCGTTTTTCTAATAATGATATTGTATCATTGAATTCAAATTTAACACCATCCATTACAGTGACCCACTTGGAACCTACCATACAGCAGAACGACACCCACTTACCCAACTTTTTTATTAATTATTATTTATTATTACCTATAGGCTATAATATAATATATTAATATTATACCGACCCATGGGTAGCTTGTATAGATATTGATAAATTCAATAATTAACTTAGAATGTGTAGATACCTATTTATTGAAATTTAAGAATTTTAAATAATAAATAATTTTATAATCCAAACAATATATGTTTTAACAATATCTTGTTGTGGTAAAAATTAATGCCAGTTTAAATATCAAATATCTCTCATTAAAATTATTTTTTAACAATATTTTATAAGCTAATAACATTTATTGTACTTTGTAAGACCCATTTGAAATTATACATATCTATTAGGTACTTATAATACAACAACAAGTCAAATTAATTTAGTATTTACTATTTACCCTTTTTCCATAAATATTTTAGATACTATAAGAGTATTAACCTAAAAATAAGATATTTTAGAAATACCAATCACAACATAATGAGTAATGACCATTTAAAGTAGAGTACAGACTTAATGTTAGCTGGTAGCAGGGTGATAAATTCTATACAATCAGAGGCGATAACAAACAAGTACCATTTAATATTGTAATATTTTTTATTTGTACAAGCAAATTTTGCATAAAAAAAATATTGATGATATTAATTAAAGAAATAAAGACAAATTAATAGTGTAGTAATCCAAAATATTTGACCATAAGTTATTCAACATTTGATAAAATGCAAATGTATTATCTTGTTTATTAAATTATATTGCCATTCAACCGACACATTGAGACTGATCATTAATCCCCATTACTGGAATTGGCATGGCTGCAATTACTCATTGGACTTCCATTTACTGGACCACTACTAACGATCATTTTATTGGTGACTTCAGCATTAAGAGGATCAAACCAACGTACAAGCTCATTTGGTAAGCATAAAACTAGCCATTCTTAAACTAAATAGTGTAGTTCAATTAAATCAATACAATTTTAAATTTGTATCATATTGAGGAGAAATTATACCAGTTGAACAAAATAAACACACATTTTTTTATTATTTAAGTATATATTTATTTCAGTGTTTTAGTGGATTATAATATGGTTCTTAGGCAAATATTATATCACCATACAGCTTGGATACTCGTTGAAATAAACTTAGATCTGAAAAATTAAAAATTAAATATTAATATTTAACAATACTACTATATAGATATTAGATATTATGATTTTACATTATCAACAGCATTGTCTGCTTCTTCATCTTCGCTAATATCATCTCCGAATTCAATATCCTCATCCAATCCATCGTCAACAAATGTGACTGTATCATTGATGCGAACTAAAAAAAAATACATATTTTATTTGATATCAAATATATTTTCCATTAAATAAATGGAATTATTTTTACCAGTTTCTGGAAATTCTCCGTATGTTTTCAAGTTACGAGCTTCATCAGGCGTATACTTCAAAATTACATCAGCTTTTGTATCTTGATATTCACGTAAGCCTATTAATACTATATCAGCTTGGTTGATCCATACCTAAAATTAAAAATATATTATATAAAATAACTATACTCAAATTAATTAATCAATTAATAACTGAAGTACCTAATAATAATTTAAAAATAAAATAATATATTATTTTACAAAAATTATTTCAAAATTAATCTTAACATTCTTAACCATACAAATTTAGAGTATGCATTTTTTATCAAATAATTTTGCTAGTTAATAAAATTCTATATTAGACTAGGAAATTTTTTAAAAAACAAGTGATATAAATGTAAGTTATAGTATATATCAGAGGTCACCAAATGGCAGCACACAGACAAATTTCAACCAGCCCGCAGACAAGAAAATAAAATTAAAACCGTTAATATTATACTAGCCTCTAGGGTTGTAGTTTATAATTTTTGTTCTTTGGATTATTTTACCAACGTCTGCAATTTTGATGGCCTGCAAACAATGTCCAGATTCATAATGTGGCTCTTCATAAACGTTAATTGGTGACCCCTGGACTATATATTATAAGATATATTGACAAAATTAACTTATATCACTATAACTATTTAAATATCTAATTATTCACGTCCCTTTAATTTTTTACACGGAAAACCATTATACGGAATACAACTATTTAGTATTCAACTGAAACAAAATTTATAATTAATTTTAACTATAGTATTAAAATAGATAGTAGGTATAGAATTTAATTGAGACAAGAACCTAATTGAAAAGTTTATTAACATTTAAATTAAGCCTTACAGAACATTAGTATTGTTTTTAATTAAGAGGACACCCGGATGTTTCGACTCTACAAACGTAAAACATCAACTTTGAATTTAGCAAAAACAATTTTGTATATATAAATATTAGAGTGAATTGACTTGTTATGAGTATGTGTGTGTTATGCTTTTTTGAGTCAATAATGCTATCTAGTTCATTCTGTATCTATTTGCTTTTCTATTATCTGTTTATATACAACTACATTTTACTGTTGCACTTTGCTTGCAATCATTTTACTAGTTTTATAACTGTTAAAGTTATTTAATTCAATATTCAATAATTGTACTGTTATCGTTCACATAGGCGCCACTAGACATTTTAACAAGGGGGTGCTTAGCTCTAGGTAATTTTGTGACTTAATGTGTAAACAAGTAATCACAACCACTAAAACAAAACAAAAACCACAATTCCGGGCCCACACATGACAGTCCAAATTATTTTAAAAAACAAAAACAAATCAAAAATCATACTTGGTGTCATGAACTACTTAACAGGACTGGACACTTTGGGCTGGGGGCGGGTAGGACGACCATGAACTTGTATGCTACCAGTACACGTGCAACACAGCACCATTTGTGATTTAAGAAATATTTTGTCATATAAAATACCGCCTTTTGTAATTGTATAGATTATCTGAGTAATAATAATATGATCTTTAAAAAGTTAAATACATTTTTATAGATTAAGTAAAGGATTTTACTTAATCTATATTCTTGTATTAAGTATAGATTTTAGTAAAGGTGTTACTTTTTTTTTAGTAATCACATAAATTAGTAGCAGTTAGATGAGTTTTATCCAAGGTGGTGACTGGTCTAAATGATCACCCGACAACGCCTACTTTTTTACAAGTTTACAATATGTTGTCTTGTTATTCTATGTTAATACCTCCCAAAACTGGGAATTGTACAATTTTGGAGACAACTGATAGACCAAAAATCACAGTGAATGATATTAAAAACATATTTCAAGCTAAAGAATCTGTTAGGAATAACAAAATTGAAACTTTAAAAAATAGATTAGATAATTTGATAAAAGAAGATTGCTGGGAAAGTAGAAAACATTTTTACTGATCATAATAATTACTGTCTTGCTTCAACTAGAGATTCCATCACCTACTATAATTGTGGTTATTTGTGTTATCAAAATAAGAAAAGAATTAGTTGTGGCATATGTATCAAGGCAATGAGAGAAGGTAAAAATTTAAGTCATTAAAATATATAAAATGGTTTTGGTAAAAATGAATCTTTAATATGTTTCAAAAGGAAGATTAATACATCCAAATAAACATATATATTCATTCATATCTGCCTTCGAAGAAATATTTGAAATGTTTTTAGAAAGTTTCAATGTGTTTGAAGAAACAATAGATTATTTATTAGAACACAAAACAAATCTATTAACATTTCCCTGTGAGTCCCATAAAAATGAAATTTTGACATTTATTATTCCCCACTACTTACCAATGAGAATGGGAAAATATTTACAAATGACAAATCAAAAAGAAATCAAAGTAAGCTCAAAAAAGAAGAAATTGTCAAAAAATTGTAAAAACATAATATTAAATGAAATTGTGCCAATTTTTTTTTTATATACCTTTTACCTACAATTGAAACCATCAAAAACTAATAAAGTACCTATTATAACTTATAAGTTATAACTACCAATTATAGCTAGCACCATAGTAAAATAAATATTTTATAGTATTTATGGCTTGCACCACGATATTATCACTGTTTACTATTCTGTGATGTTATCATAATACCATGTGTTATCCTACATAAAACGTAGTTCGTGCTACCAACAGAGTGCAGTTATATTGCATGTGTACAACCCCGTACAACTTTGTGGCCGTGGATTTGTTTGTGTCCTGTCCTGTGTAGTTTCATGCTTGATGTGATACAATGTTACACAGTAAATCTCGCTTAAGACGCTTTCTCGCATAAGACGCTATTTTACGTTGGTCCATATATCATCTATATCTCTATTTCATTCCCACATAAGACGCTTTCCCGCTTAAAACGCTCTAGAGAGCTGGTCCCTTAAAGAGCGTCTTAAGCGAGTTTTTACTGTATTTCAAATCAAATTTTTAAAAAAGTTTTTAGTGGGTGCTTAAGACCCAAGGCAACCCCCCTCCCTAGTTGTGTCAATGATAGTTCACCTTAATTTATGTACTTTCACATACATTTTGTAAATTGGCATTTGGTGTCAATAAAATAAAAATTGAAATAAATAAAATGCTTATAACTCACATAAAAATTGAAATATTGTAAAAAACCAATGATATATAACCTTTTAGTTTGATCTTAGACCAACTGTCTCTAATATTAAAGCTAACAACACAAAATTAGTTCTGCTGAATGCAAATTAGCCATGTTGTACGCTTGTAAGACAACACACGTGGGTATGGTGTTCTTTTAACTACAGCATCTTAAAATGGTAATTGTAACTTTTAATTTAAACACCAGGTCCAAATTGAATTAAGTTTGAGAATAGTTAATTGTACTAGAACATTAAATTACCACGTTGACTGCATGCATTTTTTAAAGTTTTCACTCTATATAATAAAAACTTCCAATAAGTAGAATCTCTCATATGGTCAAACTTTCGAACAGTGTATGAACTGTCAATATGTCATATTTATTATATTTATTTAACCAAGCTAACTAATGATTAAATTGTGTTTAACATGATACTGAACTACTTCAAGGACACCAAATGCTGTCATAACGCAGTCAATGTGTTAAAAGGACTCTTGGCGCTTGTGAGGGACTTATATTTGGTATATATTTACCATATTTATTAAAATTGAGCACCTTTTTCCTAAGTTTTCCTCGAATGTGGCAAAGTCGTTTAACACCATCAAAACACATTGCTTCTAGACGTCCATTTCCCAACATTTTGGTAACTTGAGCATATTCTAAGTATAAAAAAAAGTTTAAAATACTGTATATATCATGAATAATAAATAATTGAGTCATTGAGAACTAAATTAATTCAAAATAATGTATGTAGGTGTACCTCATGTATTTTATTTTGGTTTTCATTCTTTTTTCTACCAAACTTTATTGAGTATAAATTAAATTACTTGAAAGTGCGACTAGAGCCAGTAGGCACAGGGAGTGAGTACTAGTTATACTTTAAGTTTCCCCCTATAGGTAAGGTCACAAAGTCGGCATTTTGAATGCCCATCACTAACACAGTTCCCAGCAGTATTTTGCTATGAGCAGACAATATGGTAATACATTTTATTTACTATACAAATACAAATTTGTAACTGCTACTTTAAAATAATAGCTTTTGAAAAACAATTTTTATATTATCATTTTAAGTAAGAAAAATAAGTTGTTTGAAAAAAAAAAAAATTGAATATCATGAGGAGGCCGATAAAGTGTATTTGTGTTTCTTGAAAATCAACATGGCATATTCATACACATAACTGTGACATAAGCGCACATTTGTATTCTTGGTAAATATCACAATGATATGCACGTATATTTTATACCCGTTTGTTCATAAATAATTTTACAAATAAATATCATTTCATCAATACATTACCTATGTACTCAATATTTAATAACATAATTATTACCTTGTCCGTCTTCTTTGAAGACCAATTCACGCTTTTCCGTTTCATTCTCGTTCTTACCTCGCCTACGATTTTTACCTCCTTTTCCTAATGATTTAAACAAAAAACAATAAGTAAATAGAATAAAATCAAAGAAACCTCCTATTTATTATAATATAAATTATAATGATTAATAAATTATATATGTGAATTGTGGACTATCGATGAAACAAAGCAAAATATGATAGTTGTTAAAAACACTGGTTTTCGAACGATTTACTTACCTTTATTTTTGGGCATCTTGTGTTGATTTGAGTACTTGTGGTTACAAAATCACTAGTTCAGGGTCTTAGGGTTAACAATTAATTACTCTATGTAGGTAGTTAATAAAAATTAACAACGGGTTTCTGAAACGATAGAAATCGTCCCAAAAGACTGAAAAGTGAAAAGAACGCGTTATCATAAAACATCGGTCCACTTTGATCGTGTTTGGTTATTCCGGCGTGGTTAAACATAATTTTATCGGTCGAACACGAGAATGATAAGCAGACCAAAGAGTATAGAAACAGTAAAACGCTTAAATTTTTTCACCGCGAAATTTGTTTTTTAGCCGTCTATCAACATGGCTGTTGTATTTATTTATTTTATGCAGACATACCACAGATTTCTATATACAGACATACAGTGCTAATGTACTATTTATATAGTTCTGTGGTTCAATACAGTTCTATAGTGTGGTCTGTAGTACCTATAGAGGTCTGTGACGCATACCACTCATACCAGCAATTCTGAAATCTGCAGGTTTAAGACGTTTAAGATGGCTGCAGCCGATGAAAAAAAAATCGTCTTTTAGACCAATAAGCTAGATAAGACTGGAAGAATTTGGTTTGACAGATTTTAATTTTGAAAACAGATTATGATTGATCAACAAGTTTACTAGGGAATGATCCAAGCGATTTTGAATTTTTTTTTTCAGCTGTGATATCCAAGAATAAAAATTTCGTAAAAATATGATATTTTTGTATTTATATTATTCATTATGACACTAACAATAATTAAAATATTCAAAATCACCTCGTAAAATGTCCTTAATTTTTTTTTTGGTTTTTCCCGGCGCTTTTGAAAACTACTGGGAAAACTTTCCTTTTGATATTTTATGTTATCATATTAATAATTAAATACGGTAATCGGTAAGTTGGAGTGTTGAACTAATATTATTTGTATATAATAATACTTCAGAAGTTTCAAGTACCCAGGAATATTAGTTTTAAAATATAACACCAAACTTAAATTGTCCTTCTTCGTTTGAACATCTCATTTCGTCTAAATTTGAACGTAAAATAACCATAAACAAAATGTTTTTGTTTTTTTAAAAATATTTTTTGGTTACAGAATAACCTACTTACGTAATACGTTGGAACCTTGTTTAAAATGTTACATCTTATTAGCTATAAAAGTTGAACATTTTGTAAACTACAAAACCATATTTCAACTTTCAATTTTTATCATAGATTAAGATTTAAATAAATAAAAATGCTGTAAATATATTTTTAAATACTAACTTAATGAGTAACCAAATATTAGTTATTAGCTTATTATCTACTAGGTTATATATTTATTTATGTATATGATAACTGTATGGTACTTAAATATATGATTTATCATTAGTTAAATACCTTGTAGTAGTGTCCTTTTGGATATGTATGGAGATCATCATTATAAGGGGACGACGCGACTGACAGCCATAAATGTATGTGTCCTACTCGACACTCTCGGATTTAGCGGCGTCGGCTAAAGACGAAATAATTACGTTCTCAAACTATAAGTACGAACTATGATTTTCAAATATAGCACATTAGAAAATCAACGACCTAATCTACAATTCAGTATCAGACGAGTAAGCAACGAGAACAGACGTGACTTGATATTAATATGAAAACTCGCTATCGAACGCAACACCAAACTATAAGTAGGTACCCCCGTAATATAGAATCAATAATCATAGAAATATAATCATAAGCGACGACCACGACTGCTATAGTCAAAAGCATCGTCTTTATAGACCACACATTTTCACGACTACATATATAGTACATCGTAGTGTTAGAACACCGAAGTCCGAAATATAAATCAGCGAAGTGTACAGACTCAATGACCGTCGAGCAGCCAGGAAGTCGTAATACTGGAATGTTATAGTGTTCATGGTAATATAGTATATTATCAAATCAACGACCGAATTGACAATTCTGCAGTATTAGGCGAGCAAGCAACGTGCACAGACGTGACTTCATTAATAAGGAACTAGCTATCGAACGCAATACAGAACTTACGCGTAACGCGTTACAAAATACAGTCTAAGCAACCTTCACTGGTATATACTGGTATAGTCAAAACAATCATTACAAAAATAACTTCGGTCGTAATAGAGACAAGTTAATATAGTTCACCGTAATAAAGTAATATAATAGAACAAATCATATTGTTCAACAATGTAACGATCGCAGACATGCCAAACGCTGGAAATACCGCAGTGCCCGAGAGAAATTGGTTTCTACTCCTTGCGATAGTGATTGGAATTATACGTGGCGTGGCACAATTGTACGATCAATGCCGTGTGGTATTGGCCGAGGGAAACCTCGAGGATTGGCTTCAACTCGCCCAGATAGCAATAGATGTGGCGATCGAGATTATACGTGGTGTGGCACGATTTTACGATCAGTACCGTACTACCGCGCGTATGTGCTATTGGCCGAATAACTAATATGAAGAGATATGTAAGAGTATTGTCCAAGTTAAACGATTATGTAAATTTTTTTTCTCCAGAATGTAGAGTGGAAGGTGCGACGAAAAAAATATACCAAATTCTGCAAATTCTGTTGCCTTTTTACAAGACTGCAGGACAAGTTAACTATTTTAAATTCTAAGCGGAGCGATGAATGTATTGATTTTACAATGATATGTGTTTTTTTAAATTTATATCTGGGATAGCTCATAAGTCATAACTTATAATTATTATTTATTTTTTATCACACATTATTTTACGAAAAATGACGACTAAATATTATTTTACATATTTATCAAACACATTTGTTATTTTCACACATATTATTACTGCATATTATATTATTAATTTAAGAAAAATTAGACCAAATATTATTTTTACATAAAATATATATTATTTTTAAAACGACCAATTTACCAAACGAAAAATTGAATGTACCCCCCACTGCAGATCTATGACGCAAACGGTGCGATTTAAAGCCGTGGTTTCCTACAACCACGCATCCGTGATTGCGTGGTGCGCGATGCGTGATGCGTGATCACGCAAAAGTTGAAACCATGAAAAACCATATTTGTGTTTATCAATAATTCACGCAAGTGAATATTCACGCGCGCGATTGTCGATTCACGCACTACAGTCGCGCAACAGTCGCTAGTAGAGCAACATTTGCGTGTCACGCAGCGGACGAAAATATACCCTTCTTATTATAATATATTTATTATTATTTATTATATAATATAAATTGTATTTAAATATTTATTGCTTATAATAACTGCATATATTACTCAAATTATTACTAAAATTAGTATGTAAGTACCAATTCCATACATTTCATTTAAAAACATGCTTATTCATTGACAATGTGCAAATCATCGACAAATTCAATAAATATTTTAGATCGTTCATTAGTTTTCAAAAAAACTATGGAGTCAAAATCATTTAACTCAGTAGATGACGAAAAGCTGATTGAATGTGTCCGAAATTATCCTGTTTTGTACAAATTATGCGACAAAAATTATAAGGATAATTCCGTCAAAGAGAACGCCTGGAAAGAAATTGCACACTTCGTAGGAAAAAATGGTAAAATCATTGGTTTAAATATTTATTATTATGATTGTATCAAATTTAGATTCGGAATTTTATATTATTTATATTATATGGCGACTCTTGGGTTTTTAGCGAGGCGTAGTGCACAATCAAAAATAAAAATAAACAAACATCTATAAATAGATGTTTGTTTATTTTTATATATATATTTTTATAATGCATTTTTTAAATAATATAATATGTAATATAAAATAATATGTATAAGGAAAAAATGTAGTTTATTTTTAAATTAAATAATATTATAAGAGAATACAATAAAAAATAAATACTTATTTTACTTTATTCTAAAATTACCAAATAAAACAAAACAAAATTGAAATCATAGAAAATACTTTTGAAAATAGCCCAATGTATACAATAATATTATTTCAATTAGTTCGTGTGACGTGTTTTTGCTGCCAGCTCACTGATCCTATCCTGCTGTTAAAATAATCTTTAAAAGTTTCCCTGACTCGAAAAGCTTCATGTGTTGCATTTCCCCCTATTGCACTTAATTGTATCATGTTCGTTTGTACGTCCGTTATGGGATCTTTTTCTGTTGAATCTGTAGGACACACCATTCGTTCATCTCGCAATAGATTATGGATAATACACGATGCCATTATTAAGTTGTCTACTGTCTCAGGAAGAATATTAATTGGTGTAAAAAATACTCGAAAATTTTGACACATAATTCCAAACGTATTTTCCGTTGTTCTTCGCGCTCGACTTAAACGATAATTAAAAATGGCTTTCGTTTGATCTGTTTTCGATTGATTTCGAGGATAGGGCCTCATCATTGTTTCCGTTAATTTAAACGCTTCATCACCAACAAATACATGAGGCACGACTATATCAGTATTTGGTAAGCACTCTGGGTCTGGAAATTTAAATTTTCCAGTTGAAATCAATTTTCCTAAATTTGATTTAGGGAAGATTCCTGCATCTCCTTCTTTTCCATATGACCCTATGTCGACCACTAGAAACTTGTAATTCGCATCACATAAAGCCAATAGAACAACGGAAAAAAATGATTTAAAATTAAAATATAGTGATCCAGAGCTATCAGGGCAAACGATCCTTATGTGTTTCCCGTCAATAGCGCCGCAGCAATTCGGAAAATTCCATATTTCATAGAAATCATTCGATACTTTTTTTAAACTATGTTCGGTAGGTTCTGGCATTGTTATGTTTTTCAATCGGTTACAAATAGCTACAAGTACTTCCTTTATAATGGTACTTATCCAGCTGTGCGATATTCTGAACTGAAATGAAAGAGATCTGTAACTCTCTCCGGTTGCTAAAAATCTGTAAAATGTAAATACATTTAAATTATTTTTAGTAAACGACTGCAAAACACGTTGGCGTACAGTAAGAGATTCGTACAAAAAAAATTTGAAAAAACGTAAATTAGGTACTGGTTCAGCAGCTCCTACAAAATCAAAGTATAACGATGATGCATTAAGTTTCTTAAACAACATTGAAGATGAAAGAAGGTAAAAACAAATTATTATTAATAAGCTACTTTATACGTATACTTATGTATAAATATGTATTTCAATTTTTAATCAACATTTCATAAAATTCGGAGATAACAATTTTTTTTTGAGATTAATTGTTGTAATATAAAAATATTTTATTTTTTTAACTAAATAGTAAATACTACAATGAGTAGTAAAGTCTATTAATTTTACCTTTTATCCATATTTTTGTATCTTTTAGATTCTGAGTGAAACGATGAATGTATTGATTTTACAATGATGTGTGTTTTTTTATTTTTGTGTCTGTCATCACTTTGTAGGACAGTAAAAATGCTTGGATTTTCTTCAACAGTAACTTTTCTGATAGGAAAATGAATCTAGTTGGTACTTTGGGGGGGTCAAAAGTAAATATTTCCCAGTAGTTTTCAATAGGGCCGTGAAAAACAAAAGAAAAATTAGGAAAAAACGGGAATTTTTACGCAAAATCGATTTTGGTTTTTGGTGTAACATTAAAACACATGACCGTAGATACATGAAATTTTCACTGGTTGTTTATATTTGCATTTTCTATACACGATAACATTTTCAAAATATTTTGAATTATTTGGAACTGTTTAGGGACATTTTCATTTTCCATTTTTTTTTAGTTTTTTTTCTAAAAATATCAATACAATTTTATTTGTTGGTTAAAAAAGCTTGAAAATTTAATAGAAGGCTCCTAGTATATTGTTACAATAGCAGTTGAAAAATATTAAAAATACATAGGCACAGTTTTTTTTATAAGCATTTAAAGATCAAATTTTGACAGAATTTATCAAAATCTCGAAAATTATCAATCATTGTAATTAATAAATTATAAAATGTTTAGTTTTTATATCTAAGGATTGAAAATTTAAAATAATATTACTCGAGGATACTTGAAACTTCCTAAGTACACTATTATATATCTATGATAGTATCAGGGTTTGTTGTTGATGTATAACGCGTTATAAGTACCTAATGGATATTGTGATATGATTAATTTGGAATTTATTATAGGACATATAGGTACCTATTATAGGTAAATTTTTTTTAATACCATAGTTAAGTATATAATGTCTTATACCTAGACTGACATACCGTCTCCACTCAGAATCGTTTTTCTTAAACAATGATATTATATCATTGAATTCAAATTTAATACCATCCATTATACAGTGACCAACTTGTAACCTACAGTACAGCAGAGCGACATCCACTTGCCCACCTTTTTTATTTTTATTAATATTTAAAATACATAAAATGGTATTACTTTAAAATAATTTAAAATTACCACAAGAATATTTCAATAATTTCTGAATTCGATTATTTTTTATTAAATAACACAAATTAATTTTAGAACTTACATAATATTAATGATGAAAATTATGAGTTTAAAATTTAATTAATTAATTAATTAATTAAATTTAATTTTGCACTAGTAAGTGTATATTGAGATTTGAATAAAAAAACACACACCACTGTAGATCCAATAACTTCTTCGTTTCACTGAGAATCTTAAACTTCCACCCAAAATGCAAAAATGCTACCACCCCGACCAGTTTTTTTTATATTACTGCTTAAAATTCAAACATCTTATGATTTATAAAATTATTTCTAGAACTAAGTCGAACATTGCCTACAATGAAAACTTAAACTATTCAGAGGTTATGGAAAATGAAAGTTTTAATCAAACTGCGGAGTCAGAAGAAAATAGTTTTTCTAATAATTCTGGTCAAGTTTCATTAGAAACAGATAATTCGATAGTCGATCAACCACTGGAAAATGAAATACGTGATAGTTTGACAGACAGATTTCGAAAACCGTATGAAAAACCAAAAAAAATTGGAACAAAGGATAAGATAATTGAGGAAATCAAGAAAGGGCGAGAGGAGCGTTTGGCGGCATTGAAAGAGATGAGACGAGGCGAATTATGTAATGATCCAATTCAAATTTTTTTTAAAAGCATGGCTTCGACAGTGGCAACATTTCCCCCAGAATTGGCCGTAGAAGCAAAAACTAGAGTTTTTAATATTATTTCCGAATTGGAATTACGCGCAATAAAGGCAAAGGCTTCGAATACAACATCCGTAGAACCAATTGTACCGGTATCGCCTATTCCATCAAAACAAATAGTTCAGACAATATTTGTCGAAGAAGGTTCTTCGAGTTCTGCAACTTCTGCAACAAGCAGTGTTTCATGCCCTACCGCAGCAGAAAACTCCAGTTTTGCTTTTTTACAATATTATAATAATGATAATAATGATAATAATGATTATTAATTTTTTTTTTACAATTATTAAACCTAGGTGTTATTATTTTTATATTTTGTTTTATTTTGCAAAACACATTTTAAAAGGGTTGTTATGTTTTTAATTTATTTTAAGAAATATTTGTATTCTTTATTTTTTTTTTGTATTTAGGTAAATCGTGTAGTTTGTTTATAACAAAATATCTACAATTTCAGATATATGGACAGCAATTTTTTGTAAATTTAGTAAATGTTACTATACTTAAATAATTAAAATGTATGTATACATCTTGTTCGTATACTGTTATTAAAATGAAATATCGGTGTTATAATATGATGTACCTATATTTCAACATGTTATTATATTGCTATTTAAACCATTTTAAGTATTTATGTAATATGTCTCCTGCAACAATAACTTTTTTTCAAATCATAATAATATTTAAATAAATTAAATTATGTACTTGTTTGTTAAAAACTAACATGATATATTCTATTTTTTTTTAAATCTCAATTACTGAATATTCAATAATTATAATATCATAATTAACTTACCTTAGAGTGAGAGCGAGTTTTTCCTCCGGTGATATTGGTCTTTTAACTCTGTTACTTGGACGTCTTTTTATATCGTCTTTAATATAATCTAATATATAATTGAATAGTTCAAGTGATACCCTAAAATATGCACGAAATCTAATTTCGTTATCTATAAGGCGTCTTTCAACTAAAATATTATAACATCCTTCTCTACTTCGTTCAATAAACATTTCGTCCTCTTCATCCCTGAAATAATTTGCAAGTAGCAACAGTTCTTCGTCAGCTTCGTCTTCTAAAATATTATAAAGCGTCAACACGTCCATTTTGGCGAAGAACTGGACACCAACTGACAAATATTTTCATCACGCACTCATAATCACGCACTGTGTAGCAAAACATCATCACGCAACACGCATCACGCATCCCGCAAGTGTGATCGCGGAATAACGCATCGCGCACCACGCAATCACGGATGCGTGGTTGTAGGAAACCACGGCTTAAACGGTAACTAAAGTCAGTACGCAGAGCGTGTGACTTGGGGAAACGTTTAAACGTCGGAGCGAACTCGCAGAATAATGAACGCGTACAACGGCGGAAGTAAAAGGATTTTGACGGATTTTTTGGCGAACAAGTTCAATCGGACACACAAATTTGTAGCAAACTCGGGATAAACACGCACATACACCATCATATTATACATATTGCGGTATATGCCGATATAGCGCCGCAACAAAGCATTCGCCGAGAAAGCTTCGTCCGGCTCCACAGAGAGCGGCATTTGGGAAATGGGAATTACCAAGATCACCGTCGGGTTCGTGACTGCATCAGTGCAGCAGCCGCCGTGGGTTACCACCATATCCTGGATACTATTTTCCTGGTGGACCGACGGTTTCGTCGAACTGTTTTCAGGCTCGGCACCGTCAAACTACAGCAGTGCTGCCATGTCGTTCATCGGAGGACTCGACTGCAGCACGTCGGCTTCGACCGGCTGAACATGTGCAGGCAAAGATGACGGACGTCTGCAGACGGCGCGCGCCTCAATCTCGCTAATTTCTTAAGTGACAGGTGTCGATACTGACAACTCGGTGGACGGTGTTGAAACTTGCAACTCCACCATGGATGAGACGGAAGGTATCTCGATATAGGCGCATATTGGAAGTTAAATAATATTAATAATGAATGATGAATATCAATATTCCACGAACCGGTTAATTGATCAAAAATCGAGGTTTAAAGTTATTTTTCAATATTCGACAATGGCCGAAAATTAATCGTAAATATAAGTCGTAATGCATCCTATCATGATTCGTTGTCTGGAAAATAGTTTTTTTTCCCTAATGTTTAAGTCATATTTAATTATTGTTTTAAATAATTAAAGCCGTTCGCTAAATACCTATTATTTAGTTATATTATACATATATCCCGCGAAACTGAAAATGTCCCTAAACAGCTCAAAACAAGTCAAAATATTTTCAAAATTTTAAGGTGCATAGAAAAAGCTAATATAAACATTCAGTGAAATTTTCATGTATCTAGTTCTTCGTTTTTGAATTACAACAAAATAAGGAAATCGCTACATGAGAAATCGAGTGGATATCCAATGTTGTAAAAATTTGAATTTCAAACGCTTATAAAAATTTTATCTGACTTTCTTATACACATTTTTTTTTTGATAAAGGTAGATCTTATAAGGAATCTTGTGACACATTTTAAAATCTTAGATTTAAAAGGAAAAATTTTTACGAATTCTTAACTCAAAATAATTTGATAACTTTCGTGATTTTTCACGAAAGAAAATCAATAAAAAAAAACTGTGACTAAGGATTTTTAATATTTTTCATCTACCTGTGAAACAATATACTAGGAGCCTTCTATTACATTTTCAAGCTTTTATAACCAACAAATAAAATTTTATTGATATTTTTAGATAAAAAACTAAAAAAAAAATGGAAAATAAAAATGATTCTAAACAGTTCAAAACAAATCATAATATTTTGAAAATTTTATCGTGTATAGACAATGCTAATATTCAGTCATATTTCATGTATCTACTGTAATTTGTTTTAGAGTTTAGGTCATTAGAGGTCATTCGTTTAAGAGTTGCACCAAAATCCAAAATCGATTTTTTCGAAAACAGATTTTGTGTAAAAATTATCGTTTTTCCTTAATTTGTCTTTTGTTTTTCTCGGCGCTTTTGAAAACTACTGGACAAATTATACTTTTGACTCCCCAAAATTTCAACTAGATTCACTTTCCTATCTTTTTGATACTGTTGTAGAAAATCCAAGCACTTTTACTGTCCTTAAAGGTGATGACAGACACAAATTTGAACTTAAAATTACTATAAAAATAAACTGTGCTTCTGTATTTTTAGACTTTTTGGTAACAGAATTAACTACTTACGTGGAATCTTGTTTTAAATTTTCAATCCTTAGATATAAAAATTGAACATTTTGAAAATTGTTAACTACAAAATAATTATTTAATTTTAAATTTGATAAATTTTGTCAAAATTTGATCTTTAAATGCTTATAAAAAAAAAACTGTGCCTATGTATTTTTAATATTTTTCAACTGCTATTGTAACAATATATCAGGAGCCTTGTATTAAATTTTTATACTTTTTGGCCCAGAAGATAAAACTTTATTGATATTTATAGAAAAAAAAAAACTAAAAAAAATTTAAAGCTATAAATGTCTGTAAACAGCTCAAAAAGAGTCAAAATATTTTCAAAAATTATATGGTGTATAGAAAATGCTAATATAAACATTCAGTGAAATTTTCATGTATCTACAGTTATTCGTTTTTGAATTACAACAAAATAAGAAAAACGCTACATGAGAAATCGAGTGAATATCCAATGTTGTAAAAATTTGAATGTCAAACGTTCATTAAAATTTGATTTGACTTTCTTATAGACATTTTTTTTTTTGATAAAGGTAGATAATCTTATATGGAATCTTGTATTACATTTTTAAATCATAGATTTAAAAAAAAAAATTTTTACAAATTCTTAACTCAAAATAATTTGCTAATTTTCGTGATTTTTCCATATTTTGTAAATTTTTGGACTTTAAATGCTTATAAAAAAAAATTGTGACCAAGGATTTTTAATATTTTTCATCTGCCTTTGAAACAATATACTAGGAGCCTTCTATTAAATTTTCAAGCTTTCGCAACCTACAAATAAAATTTAATTGATATTTTTAGAAAAAAAACTAAAAAAAAAAATGGAAAATGAAAATGTCCCTAAACAGTTCAAAATAAATCAAAATATTTTGAAAATGTTATCGTGTATAGAAAATGCAAATATAAACAACCAGTGAAAATTTCATGTATATACGTTTATTTGTTTTAGAGTTACACCAAAAACCAAAATCGATTTTTTGGAAAACCGATTTTGAGTGAAAATTCCCGTTTTTCCTCAATTGTTATGTTGTTTTTCCCAGCGCTTGTGAAAACTACAGAGAAATTTTTACTTTTGACTCCCCAAAGTACCAACTAGATTCACTTTCCTATCAGAAAAGCTACTGTTGAAGAAAATCCAAGCACTTTTACTGTCCTAAAACGTGATGACAGACACAAAAAAAAACAAAAAAATAAAAAAAAACACACATCATTGTAAAATCAATACATTCATAGTTTACTCAGAATCTAAAATAATTTAGTGCACTATTTTGAATTATAAGTGCATTTTTAAGTTTTTTTAGAACATTTAAATCATCAATAATAATTATGATAATCAATCCAGAAAAGTCAAGGGGGAAACTGCCTCTACTGACGCCCCCATGCGGACGCCCTTGGGTATGACATTAATATCGTATACATAATACATACACAACTGCTATGTAGGCATCTGGCTATAATTGAATATACAACTTTTTAAATGCTATAAAAACGGCCATAATGTTATAAACAATAATAATATCTTAGACGTTAGACCATAGTAACGAGATTTGTTTATTTATATTTAAGTTTTTAAAATTAATACTAATACCAATACCGGACGAATTTGGAGAGTAACGCTGGTTGACTTAGATAGAATCATCGGGGAATTTCCAGGAATTGGAGTGGCGCCTAACTGGAATTTCGCCCATATATAACGAGACATACTCAGGGGCGCATTAAGGGTTCACATATGGGGGGCAAAATTATTTTGCGCCCCTGGTGTATTTTATGAATATTAATGAAAGTATAAAAAACTTTAAAAAAATTTCCTCGCTGCGCTCGAAAAATTAAGTTAGTACCTTACATTTCATACAGTTATTATACCTACATAGATATCTTATTAAATTAATTACTAAATATCTATTTGGAACTTGGAATAATAATCCTTTCTTTTAAAATAGTGATGGTAATTGGAATATTTATTATGTAAAATGTTTATATTTCATTAACTAATAAATACCTCCTAGTAAGCAACTCCTATATTTTTAGTTATTTATGGAGTACCTATGTATTAAGCATTGACTTATAATAATAAATATATCTTTATTCTTTATTAACAATAAAATATTATTACATATTATAAAACTATTTAAATGACAAATATGGAACAATACTAATTAAAATATTTTCTTATTTTTTTGTTCACAAACTCTTTTATAATACTTGACCAATCAATACTTCTAATCATCTCATTTTCTATTGACAGCCATAGGCGCACATTGGGTGTGAATTCAGGGGGTGCTGGGATAATTTATGGTTCACACCTCCTAATCCTAATATTTCTACATTGCATTAGATTTAATTTGTATAGTGTATACAATAATTTCTAAAGTGCAATGTATCAAATAGTCTGTATGATTGTAAAGAAGACGCTAGGTACACCCACATGTGTTGGCTCCGTATTACAGACGTAGGTACAACATAGGCAAAACTGTTTTGCACGGGTATAAAAAACATTCAGGCTCTACTCTAAGCTAAGAAACTAAATGTTCACACTATAAAATTGAGAAAATTTACTCTGTAACTTTGTTTTTATATTTCCCATATCAAAACCAAAATAAAAGTTATTTAAGTTTGATAAACAAAAAAAGGTGCTCTGCTGTACAGTAGGGTACAAGTGGGTCACTGTATAATCGATGGTATTAAATTTGAATTCAATGATATACTAACATCATTGTATAAGAAAAACGATTCTGAGCGAAGACGGTTAGTTAGCCTATGATATTACTAAGTATATTTGATGATACTAAGGTGAATAAAGCAATTTATATATAACCTATTAACGTAGAATCTTGTTTTAAATTTTCAATCATTAGCTATAAAAGTTGAACATTTTATAAATTTTTAACTATAAAATTATTATTAAATTTTAAAT